GCTATAAATTCTCCTTTAGCATATTAATGCTGCTTTGTAGCGTGATATTTGATGGATGAATGTGTATATTATCTATAACCTATTTTCTCTAAACTCAGCCCAGGAAAGCAGCATGCTCTGCTCTCTCTGGGAATATTGCAGAATGCTTTCATTTTCAGTCATAACCACATTTAGACATAGTGCTGCTGCTTTAAATTGGGATAATGAAATCTTGACAAGTGTTTTGGACAAACACAACACAAGCAATAACAGAGACTTTAATAAAATGAAAGGATTTCCAGGGAATACCTTCATTTCTTCCCTTCTCCAATTTAATTCTTTCAGAAAATAATCAGACCATAACATAAGACTAAATTCAAAAGATGAAGTTCAGCTGAAGAAGAAATAATGTCCATAATATGTTTTCAAATGTTGTTCATTTGTTTGAAATGAGTTCTGTGAGTCAGACTTACGTTTCTTAAGTACTTCATAAGCAAAACCACTTCACACTTGGAATATCTTTTCATCTAGGGATCTCAAGTAATTTTTGAGGAAGGGGGAAACAAAAACTCTTGCTATTGTCCACTGCCAACCAACAGCAGGTGGCTGAATCTTTCAAGACCGCTTCTGAGATCCAATTCCAGTGCTGTGTGCGTGGGGGGGGGGGGCAGGTTCACTATATCCATCCCATAGCCTAGTGCATGGATTGTGCAGGATGGCCACATCTCCCCACTGAGAGCACATTGGGAAGCTGCAATGTGGGAAAGGTCTAAAGGTTTTGTTGGCATTTCAGGGCATTTGGCTGAATAACCAAAGACGATATATGAAAATAACTTGTCTGTTAGGGAAATCTCAGATCAGACTTCAGTCCACATGATCAAACTAACCTTCATGTAGGTCCAGAGAATCTCCAGATGCTCACCTTCCCCTTCCTGCATGGGGAATAAATAGAACACAGTCAGCAATGCCAAAAGCACTCTGTTGTCCAGTTCTGCTCTGAAGGCACATGTTCCTTGCTTGCCTTACTCTTTGGTTGTGGTAACCCTGCCTATTCACAAGAAGCTCACCAGGGTATCTGTGTTGCACCTCATTTTATTGAAAGTTTATTGAAAGGATGACTATCTTCTCCTAAATCCCATAGCCAGTAAAAAGTCTCTTAGAGATGACCACTTGTCCCACTGAAACAGAGAAAAAAAATGCACTCTCTATCCATCCCACTGCTGTCAAATCTTGAATGTGTGTGGCATGGAATGTGGTAAGGGAGCAATGACTGCGCAGAGATTGGGGTCGCTGTGGGCAGTTCTGAGTCAGGTCCCACTGAAGGACATTCACTTCCAGATGAAAGACAGCGCCCTGTACTGGAGTTCACCACGTTCTGCTATTTCTTTTGGGTGAATAACTTCTAACAGAGGCCTAACAAAAGTCAGTCTGAAGATGATGAGACTGTGTGCTTCATTAGTACTTTCTGTATTTGAATGGACATTGGGGCAATTAACACAGGCTCATTACACAAGAATTTTGGTCATTTGCTCTGATTATTCACCACAGTATTTCCACTGAGAATATCAGAGTCTGTGATTAAGTACAGGAATAATTTGTGTGGTTCCTTCATTGAGAGTTCTATCACCTTTTTTTGGGTCTAATTGCTTTACAGCCTTCACTCCTGATATACTCATGGCAAACACACATATTGCCTTGCACATAAACTATGCTCTTCAGATTCTGGTTGAGGTTACAGTCATATTCTACTACACACCAGTAGATCCAACTGAAAAGAAATTAAAGTAACAGCTTCAAGGTCTAGCAAGGTCTAGTAAAGCATTCTGAGAACTATAAGATCATAGAAGCATAGAATCACCAAGGTTGGAAATGACCTACAAGATCCATAAGGGATGCTTGCTTTGGTCCTGGACTGATTACCAATTAAAAAAACAGAAGTTAAATATTACAGAATGGCTTTAGTGGGCCAAGCCAACCTCTATTTACCCTTTGTTTTTGACAATAGATTAAGGATGATTCTAGAAAAGGGTATAAGAACAGTACAAGCAGGCACTAATGGTTCTCAGGAATGCTGTCTCAGCCTCCATCAGCAGAACCTTTTAAAGCCAGTTAAATGGCTTCATATTTCATAACTTTATGTAGATTTATTTCTTTTATATTAATTTGTTCATTATACATAGTATGAGAGGATTAATTCATAGTCCTTTTCCAGAACAGAGGAGGAATCAAATAAGTCTGCAGCCAGATAAACTTTGTTGAGATGTTCAGATATGGAGACATAGGTTGCCCTGATCTAAAATGTGTGTAGGGAGGACTCCGAGGGCAGCAAAAGGGGAGCATGATTGGAAAAGAAAAGGGCATAAAGTAGATTTTATTTTGGAAAATAGAGCCTCTACCTCATTCATCTATAAAATCCTTCTCACTAAGAAGTCTGGAGGTGCTGTTGGAAAACCTGTATCAAATGTTATGCTGATTTGTGTGCAACACTGAACAACATGAAGGTATTTAGAGGGATTTCTTGAAAACACAAAGGCAGAAGTTGCATAGAAGTGATGTAATAAGTAGTTTTCTGTTGGAAAGTTGTCTTTTAAGATACAGCACAATGTAAGGTTTTAAAATACGAGGAAATACAAAGACTGCTATTTTCAAAGGGCATAATATCAGGAGTAAAATATCTTGTTTCTTTGGCAGGCACAGAATGAAACTTCAGGTTAAGCTTTCAAAATCTTTGACCAGAAGTCAAGTCTTGTGTTCCTAAGTCACTAAGTTTTTACCTCTGTTTCAAAGAGCTGGCAACAGTTATTGTGTAGCTGAAGGTCTGTGTTGAAAAGATATGGGTCATTTCTGCTAAAACCCATGCAATTATGTATGTTTTCAGACATTCAGAATAAATTAAATGAGTATCAGCTCAATGTTCACAAATGGAATATTTTATTTTTTTGAAAACTGGAAAAGCATTTTGACTGCTTGTTAATGAGTATATGGACAAATCAAGTTTTCCATTATTTGATTAGCAAGGGCACTAATATACTCTACCTGTGAAGCTAAGGCAAAGAGAAATTCTGGGTCCAATAAGTAAGATTGGAAGAAGTTTTCCTTACTCTGCAAATATATAATTTGCTTTTCCTGCTCAGCTGTAAGCTGATACAAAGACCTCTCACTAAGAAAAATAATTGTGCTCAGAGCTTGGCAAATGGGAGAGGTGGGATACAGAGCCCACAAGTATCCCAGCTGGTGGGAGCAGCCACCCTCCTGCCCCAAACTGTTGCTGAGCTTCACCTTGGCATCCTCCCTTTCCTCACCTGGGCACAATGAACAGGCTTCCTCAGAAGCCACCAGCTGCATTCAGTGGTATGGCTCTGGCTCAGCATGGAGGGACCAGTCTTGCTCCAGCAGTGGGCACTGTCTCCACTCATCAGAAGCAGGAAGGTGGTGTTCTAAGACCTGATCATGGACATCCAACAGCCCAGGCAAAGTCCTGAAATGACGCCAGTCTGCTCTAGAAGACCTCTTCCTGTGTCTATTTGTGAGCTCTGCCCAGACCTGGTGCATGTGGTACCAAATTTCCTGGGAGTACATTCAGATTCTGGTGAACCAGCAACTTCTAATTTAAGAAACAGTTGTTCCAGTAAAGGTTTCCTGGCTGTTGTTGGAGTTGAATTGTTTTCATCTGTGCTAACAGTATCATATTGCTAGCCAGGGAAGTTCATTCTACCTAATTGTTCTAAGCATGTGGTGATAGAGATGGGAAGCTAATTATCTCCATCAAATTGATTTCATTTTGGTTACCACACAGCTATTAGTGGAACGACAATAAATTTTGGTCTCTTTGATCAGGACTGGAGTTTAACCAACATTTCTGAAGTCATTAATGTGTTATGCCTCCCCCAGGCTAATGATTTGATTACCATGTAAATGTACTGGAGCCAAACACCTCAGCTATATGTTCCGGGTGATGGATAGGAAGATCTGAAAACAATAGATGTTACACCTAACTACTCCAGCAGTGAAATACAGAGCATTTCAGAATGTTACTGGCAGGAAGGAGAGACACACACACCTGAAAGCTTTGGTACAGGTCTGCCCTGTATAATATTTTTAACAAATATTGATAAAGAAATCACGTTGGTGCCTTGACCTTTTCAAGAACTTTGATGTTCCATGCTAAACTACACAGTCACAAACATCCAGGAGCACCCAGATGTAACAGTAACTGATGTTTGTAGGGCATCCCACCACTTGGCTCAGTCCTTGGCCACAAGATCATTGCATACAGTCTCTGGCTCACTGAGGCAGAGCCCTTTACCCTAAGTTCTGTGCATAGGTGGCAGGAAGGCTCATGGGAAGCTGTGTTTGCCTAAAGGACACATGGTCTTGTGGAAGCACAACTCATCTGTGGGGCTTCACCACAGGTAACTTGGCATGCTGTTTTTGGTTTTCTATCAGTAAGAGATGATTATATACACTGTGTGATTTGCTGCTATGGTAAGGACAAGGGGTGGACTAGAAGTACTACAGATAACATAACAAAATCATAGAATCATTTGAGTTAGAAAGGACAATTAAAGGTTATGTAGTACAACTCCCCTACCATGAACAGGGACACATACAGCTCCATCAGGGTGCTCAGAACCCCATCCATTCTGACCTTGAATATCTCCAAGAACAAAATCTCCACCACATCTCTGGGCAACATATTTTAATATGAATAGTTTGAGAACAGTAAGCATCTTACAGATGTTATAATTATGAAATATACCAGAGAGTTTGACTAAGCAGTTACTATACCAAGAGAAAATAGATAAAATGCTTACCCATATCCTAGGCTTGCTATGAAACTCCAGAGAAGGGGATCTCCAGAAGAGATCCATCTCCACTGGTAGTCAGCTTTTAAATGGGTCTAGGAGAGGTGGAGCCAGACTCCACCCCTTCCTGGTAGCACAGGTGAATTGCCTTCACCTGTGCTCCTGTGGCTGACTCATTGCTCACCTCAGGTGGTCAATCAGAGGTTTGGGCTGTGATTCAGCAGTTTCCATACTCCTGTGTATAAAAATCTGTTTCTAGGGAACTAATCTTTAGCTCTGTCTGTGAAATGCCATAGAAAAGCCATGATGTGCTCAGAGTGAGGTGGGCAGAGAGTGGCACAGGGAGTAGCCAGGGCTGTGAGGTTGCTCCTTGTCTTAGTTTCAGCTGGGACAGAATTGTTTTCTTCAGTGTGTGATATGATGCTATGTTTTGGTTTTAGGGGAAAATCAATGTTGCTGACATACCAATGTTCATAGCTTCTGTGAAGCAGTGCTGTACAGAGCCAAGGCCATTCTCAATGAAGAACCCAAGAAACTGGGAGGGAGCAGAATTAGGAGAGGTGACTTAAACCAGCCAAAGGGATATTCCATACCCTTGATGTCATGTAGAAGTTCTGAAGGGTGTGGGAGGGCATCTCAGTCTCTTCTGGAGCTCAGGGGATAGCTGGGCATCAGCTGGAGAGTAGTGAGCAATTGTCTGTGCATTTGTTACGTACATTCAGTTCTGCTTTTTTTTTTTTTTTTTTTTTTTCTCCTAGGGGGAGCGAGCAAATGACTACATGGTGCTGAGCCACCTGCCAGATAAACCACAACAGTCCTCCTTAGATTTGCAGACCATCCTGCATGCACTGATCAGCATTCCAGAAGCCTGGCCTTGTCTTACCAACATTCCTGAAAATGCCACTGTTGCTGATTTAATGCTAGGGCTGGGAATTCTTCATAACTCATCTGACTTCACTCCTTTCCCCAGAGCCGGTGCAGAGCATTGCTGTGCTGATGGAGCATCTGCACGAGGCTGTAGTTTCCCCAGTGTCCCAGGATGGGTCCAAGGCACTCAGAGGTGGTGAGGAAAGACAAATTGTGCAGCGTTGCCAAATGAGGGGAAATAAGGAAGAAACCACTTGTGCTTGAGGATGATGCTATGGAACAGGAAGATCCCCTCTTCCCCTCCTCCCCAGTCCTCCCTGCCTCCCACAGCTCCTCAGCCTTTTGACCCTCTGGAAAATGGCTTCAACTCTCCAGCCTTAGAAGCATTTATCATATTTTCTGCTGTGTCAGTTTTTCTGCTAGCTTAGTGATTTGAAGCCGTTTGGGAGAATGGCAGCAAGAGGGCAGGATGTGCAGGAGGAGGAGGGAAGAGAAGGGAAAACGGGCTTAAACAGAGAGATACACAACCTCTTATTCCTATTTTACTGGTGTGTGGGGGCACTGGCCAGATAATGAGCCATTGAGTGTCAATGTCTTGATGAGGCACTCGGGAAGTAGCTCTTAAGCAAATAATGTATATTTGTATATATTCACAGACATACACACAAATACATAGACACTCCAAAGCCTGTGAGCTGCAGCAGCCCCTTGGATACACCGAGAGCTTTTTCATCTGGAAGAGGATCTGGGGGCAGCTGGTTGGTTTGCTTCTTTTCCTGGACAGCCCCAGCACCAGCTGCTGCTGCCAGAGCTTGGGGAGAGGGATGTAAAGGACTGAAGGGCTCTAGTCTGTTAATTTATTGGAATGAATATAAATTAATGCTTTTCTTTAGCTTGCAGTTATTAAAGGCCAGGAGGACTCATGACCGTGCTCTTTTATCACTGGTGACAATAATGCATTAATCACCCTTGATGGTTCCTATGGCCCTGTTACAGGTGAGGGAAGCAGACACAAAGGCTGGGTGAAGGCAAACAATCACACACTCTCCAGCTGCTCCAGGCACAACCCAACCAGTCTGGGGGACTCCAGGTAATTCTAATGTTATGAATCTGCTCCCATGACAGAGGTGCTGAACTGCTGTGCCACATATAAGATCACTGAATTGTCCTTCCCATCTTCTCACGAAAGACTAATCTTCACTGCCATGGCTGCATAGAGCTTTTTCCCCATGAAAACTGGAGGAAATATGACAAAAAAAAAGGTGAAGAATTTGAAGCAGGATTAGAGTATGGCACTCGCTGGCCAATCCTATAAGCACTAAAATGCTTCACCAGTTTAATGTCATTTCAGAGGGTAATCCTCAGCCAGCCTTGTCTAGAGACACTAGCAGGCTGCTTTGGCACTCAGCGGTGCAAATCATTGAGTTGCACAGTGAAGTACAAGGCGAAGGAATGATGAAGTGCTTTCATGTACCTATTTCACCTGACCTTAACACCCTGGCTCCTTCATAAAGTGAATTCTGCTCCATTACAGTAGTCCGAGTCCTTTGAAGTCAATGGAGTTGTGTTAAATTAACAGCTATACCTTAGTTTGATGATCTTGTACAGCAGTGAGCCGAAATTATGTTTTGGTACATCTCAATGATACTTTTGGGATAGTCTGACCTCTGCATCACTCCTTGAGTGAACAAGGGGATATTTTCAGATTTTGTCAGTCTTTGCTTTTGCCACACTTCTTCAAGAGAGATAAGTAAGCAGTGAGACAAATATATAGACAGATTACTACTCCTGATCTCTGCATCACTCCTTGAGTAATCCTCCCAAAAGATAAAAGAACATTTTAGGAAAGCCACATACATAGAAAATAGAGCTGAACTTGTAGAACTGAATGTACAAACATACTCCCACCTGTCCAAGGGTCAAAGAGTTACTGGGACAGATGTAATAAAAGAGCTGCAACAAGGAAATTCAAAGGCAGAGGTTCAGATGGCAGTGATGGATGATTTTGGTTTCCACCGAGTACAGGTGCATCAGGCCTAGGAACCAAGTTTTGGCTCTTCCTCACTTGAAAGGTAAAGCCTACACCAGAACTCATGTATGTCCTTTTCCCAGTGAAATGTCCTAGAACCAGCTATCATGTGCTTTTTGTTCTTTCTCATGCCAAAAAGTTATTCAATTATAACAAGTAATTTAGCTTCCTCCATATAATGTACAGTATCATAAATGTAAAGCATATCCTGATACATTTCTTTCAAAGTGCCTGTTGATCTGTTGACTTCAATACTCTCTTGTCCCTTTAGACAGCAGCATGAGCCATTTATCAACTGAGTTACTTAACAAAGAGGAGCCCTCCTTTTTCTCTTGAGCATGATCTTGTTTTGAGAGGAACACAGGTACTCTGTGTAGGTGAGTCTGGACAGATCTCAAACCACAGAGAGGATCAACACCAGGCCGGCAGCAGGCAGCCAAGACAAGGCATATCCAGAAGATCTGTAGACTCTAGAGAATATTTAATGTGAGAAGCTGAGAGGTTGAACAAGGGGTTTGGTACCCAGCAGTGTAGAGTTTAGGTGTTAACTATGACTGAAATCTGTAGTTGAGGAGTCCAAGTCTCACTACTCTGTGTAAAGGTCAAGATTTTAGGATTCTGTGGTGTCAAGGGTGTGATAGCATGTAAATCATGTTGTTACTTCTGCAAATGTTTCCTTTCACCCCTGGTTGTTTTTGTCCCATTGGGTGTAAAGGAAGGAGCTGCATCTCTCCTTGCTGAGCACTGCTGTGAAGGTGTCTTTTCAGAGCCAAAGGAGAGTGAAGAGGACCTTTTCCTCTCCCAGGCAGAACAAGGCTTTCATGGTCTGCTGGAAGTAATTCTGTATCACAATGGAAGTTGATAAAATAGAACATAAACTTATCTAATGGATGATTTAATTACCAGGAAAGCCAGACTGAATGAAGCATCTGAACGGAACCATTTCATTTCTGAAAAGACAATGATTATGAATCCCCTTTCTCCAAGGCCAAATTATTTATTCAGGAAGCTTTAGATTGACAAGAAATTCTACATGTGTCTATATGTATGGATGTGCTTGCATGTCTTTGTGGTTTTTTGTTTGCATTTTGTATGTATGTGTCTTTGCATCCAGACAGGCTGTCACTACGCTTGAAAAAGTCTCAGGTTTTCTGTGACTTTGCACAAATTCCCACTAAACTAGTGTATCCACATGATCAAGCTGAAACCAACCAAACTAATCAGGGCTAAGAGCTGGAAAGTAGGCACAACAATAATGAATCAAGGGGCTTAAAAAGCTTTTAAATTGCTATTTCATTCTTCAACACACAAGCAGGGCTGTCGAGGTTTAACTGCAGCAGAAGGACTTATTTATTTTATTTCAGAAACAAGCACTTCTCTCAAGCCCTCTGTTAGCTGATATACCAGCTTGTTCGTGTTTTATGTTGTTGTTTTTCCAATATACAGTTGGAAAAGAAATAACTGTGCCTGATGATCCTGGGGTGGATGCCTGTAAAGTTTTAAGTGCAGTTCTGGTATTTAGCCTTTAAACTCAATGAGATTAAATACAGAATCCATCCGTATAATTTCCTCTGATGACTGCTTTGTAGTTGTTTTCAGCAGCCAAATCACATCACAGTGTCTGCTGTAGTTGGGCACTAGCGGCTGATTGTGGAGGGGAAAACAGGCTGGGAACCACCTGTAGTGAGCTCAGCTATGGCCAAACTGCCCAGGTGTAGGCTGGGGCTCCCAGGATGCTGGGAAGGCTGGCAGAGGCCCCCCAGATGATGGGGATCAGGGAGACATGTGGGGCTGTCACCCATTTCATGGCCCATATCTGCACTGGCCAAACACGTCCCCTCTGAAGCTCCTCTGTGGGGCAAGCTGATGCTGCTTATCAAACAAGCCAGGAATTCTGGCATTTACGCTTTTTGACATGAAAATAATGACAGGTTCACCACTTTGAGTGTGGTTAGTGGCACAAACAGCCTCATTGGTGTAGCTTCTTTCGTAACGTTCTGCTGGCTTGAGCATCTTTGCACATAGGGAAGTAACAAGGCTGTGGAGAGATGATGGGATTTGCTTCACCTATATCTACAAAAAGTGATATAATTTATATATGAAAATAAACTTTGGGATCTATAAATACTGAGATTCTGATGCTTTTATTATTCAAGTCACAAGTCCAGCGTGGATGGATCAGCTCACAGTGACAGTTTCGCATGAAAAAAACCTCACCCTATAAATGTTATATTCTTCCCCTCTCCTAGTTTTCCCACCCAAATACCTAACAACATAGACCCAAGCTAAGGAAAGGCAACTGCTGCAGTGTCTAACCTTGAAAAAAATGATATGCATTGCCACTGAGGATGTCCTGCTGTGCCAGGAATGGGATAGCCCACGCAGGTCCAGCATCAGATTCTTCAACAAGAGCAAAAAATTGCTATGGGGTCCAGTGAGCTGAAGAGGCTCTCTGGAAGCTGTTAGGCTCAGTTTCATCCTGGAAACAAATCTTCACAAGGACGGGGGTAAGAAAGTCTCTTTCTAGAAAATTTTAACTGTTAAGCGTGTGTATACTTTGACAGTGGGCACTTCTGAAAGACTGGTAACACTGGAGATCTCTGTAAGGACTGGCTGGTGGAAGTAATCTCAGCGCATAAAGTGATGCCTAAGCACTAAAGTGTGTTAAACCTTTGCATAAATGATGTCATATGGGTTCAGTGTGATTCTTGTCTGCCATAAGTAAATACTTAAAGCCAGGGCCATTCCACCAATGAAGTGGTCTGCAAAGATGCACTGACCTCACACCTTTTGTTAATCGCTTCAGTTTTCTTAAACAGCTTAGACAGCAAGACACATGAAGTGTGAGTTTGTAAAGATGTGTTTAATTTTCATTGAGAAAAAGTTTTCAGAGTTACCTGGAAATAAGTTAGTGGCAGTCTCAGCTCAGTCATCTACGACTGTCCTTAGAAGTCTTCTTCTCTACCAGCAACCATCAATGTAAGTGCATGTTTCCTATGACACACCAAATCCAAACAGAACAAGAACATGTTGACTAGAGATCTATTATGTGTGTGTAAAAATATGTTAGTGTATCCTGGAGCATTTGCAAACTGATTTCTAAGCCACTGTGAAAAACGGTCAACAAACAGTGAAAGAACAATTTTACTTGGCATTTTATTCACTTAACAGAAACATTCACTTATTAGGTATCACTGAAGTGCAATTTACAGAATTTAGCAGCAAATTCACATATGTAAATTTAGATTTATTTTCTCTTGTCCTTTTTTGTTT